AGAGATCGTGGATTCCCCACTATTTGCGTGGTACTGTAAGGCAAGCACGAAATTGTATTGAGGTGTCCTTTTCCGGAAAACTGTCCACCGGTACCTTCAGCGTCACAAAAAACATTCCTGTGCACGTGAGAAGACTTCAAAATTTCTTCTGAATGTTTTGCAACTATATTTGCACAGAATGTATGTAAAATAACGTTGTGAATCAATAACCCCCCCCCCCTGCAAGGATTGTTCGTTGCACAAGATGACGCCGTCTTCAGCCGTGAGTATATTCATTCCCCTTCTGTATAGTTGGGGACCTCCTTACTGCAGCTGAAGCAAACTTTCGGAGCAAAACCCGCGACGTATACTAGTTCTAGCTGTGGTGGACCAACAACAAAAATCTAGTCTCATGGAAAGAGAAAAACGTCTTTTCCAAAATCGTGTAGGTTTCTGCACCACGTTATGTTCTGAAGCGAAGGTGTGCCCAGTGCAAAGCGTGAAAAATTCCTTCGTTTGCTATAGCACGCTATTTCTTGGTCTCAATGGCACGCAGGGGAGCATTAGAATAACTTCCATGTAGATCGTCTACACACTTCTCAGAAACCATGAATTCTGCTTACCGCGTGAAAAAAATCATTTGCGGATGAGGTATTGCACTTTTCAGGCAGGGCTGCAAGAGGCACAGTTTCGAGCAGGGGGGGGGGGGAGGATTTTTGCTGCACATTGCTTCCTTAGCTCCGGTTTACATGTCTCACCTGGCGAAACCTGTGAACTCTTGTGAGGCTGGAACAAGGTCGTCAAGCTATCATGTTAAATGTAATTTAGATGTGATTTGATTGTTTAACTTATACTATATTCTTGTTATAATGATTACAATTTTTGAAACTGTAATATATTCTCAATAGAATGAATTTCTCTTGCATATAATTTCTGTTTTCATTGATTTCAAGGAAGTAGTCTAGTTTCCGTTTCGCACGTGCCCTTAGACGGAAACTAGACAACCATGGTATCCTCCCCCGTGCTCCTCAGTAAGGAAGGGTAGGATCAACGCGTTTGAGTATGGATAGTCTTGAAAGTTTTAGAAAAGTGTCTTCAGGAATTCTTAAGGATTTCAAAAGGTTAAACTTTAAGTTTTGAGATAAATTTTCAGGATTTTAAGTGGTGGTTTACTATGTTTCAATCGAATCTTTTGAAGGACAAAACAAAACAGTGTTGTCACTTAAAACCTGTCAACTCGAGAAGAGGCTGTCTAGATAGGTCGACACGTCGATGGGAAGTAGCAAAAGTGCAAAATGCCCTCCCCCCTCCTCCCACCCATCGGCAAACTGCGCCGGACTGAAGCTTACTGGAAGCCCAATAGGCCATGCAGCGTTTCGATGTCACAGCACGGCGACGCAGCCTCAAATATTGGTCAGATACGTCGACAGCCTGCAAGGGGGGCCACACTTGTAGCCTGTGCGGGTGGTTTCTCAAGGCGATTTCTCGTGCTAGCAATCTTGACGAACACAGGAAGGATATCACGATGTGTTTGGTGCCCATCTCAGTAAGAGCACGTGCGAATGAAATTAAACTACCCATAGCTTTGAACCCCACTCCCACCAAAGATTCATCAAGTTCACCCCCTGAACTGAACCTGAAATGGGCCACTTCCAGAATTTTCGTGGAACGGACGACGTTATTGTTATGACGACGGAAACTTTATTGCTAATCGTCAACGGAACAAATTTACGGACCGTGCTGTGACAGTTTCGAAAGCTTTGGATTCAGAACATTCCTTGGACTGAGCACGAACTACATATTCTTTGGAGCAACAAAAAAATAAAAAATATTTCTGATGTCCAATGGGGCGATAATCGGCCTGCTAGAATAATGTATCTTTTAGTTTTTCTGGAACATTCCTTAGTTTCTCTTAAACAATCTGCCACATTCGGATCGTATCCCATTGAGCGTACGCGGTCGAACGAAAGTGAGAAAGTGAGCGCGTACGAAAGAATCGAAGACACTGACCGGGTTTTAGGACCTGACCGCGCGAGCGATTCTTCGCCAACACCCATCTCAAGGTCGTCGTGCGGGGCTCTCTGCGCACAGGCGCAAACCGTCGGCGGTGGACTCACTACACCTACGAGGTGTTCTCTTTACGTGATGTGTCGATCCCAGAGAACTGCCCGATGCCTTCCCCAATTCATCAGGAACGTTGTGAGATCCTCACAGGCGTCAAATCTTTCTGAGCTGCCTAGTTATCCATTCTTTCAATTTTTCCTGTCTCTCTATTTATTCCTTCTTCACCGATGGTGCCTGCAGTTATCTTCATCTCATCTCTTGAAAACCTGAAAACCCTCTTTAGTTCAGATCCGATTTTCAGGGATGCGGTCTATTATTCCGCTGACGGCTCTACTATGTTCCATAGCCTTTATTCTTCCATCAGATGCCAATAAATTCGATCAAATAAAGGAGATCTACAGCAATCCCTTGGCACATGGTGAGCACCGTTCCTTCAGATTTCAGTACTTCATCGGTAAAAAGCTCAAATTCAGGATTTGGTGAGGACATTGACTGGGTACCGTGGGAAGATGCCATCGAAAAGGCCTTGGACACAAACAAACCAATCTTCCTGCTCATTCACAAGACATGGTGCCATGCTTGTAAAGGTATGTATAAAGCCGGATTGTACGACCTTCGCATAAGTGTGCCGCATTTGCGTCCAGGGACGAGTTTCACATCATCAAACCGTTCCACTATTTTCTTGCAAACGTGAGAACTCGCCCTAGAAAGGTCATCATGATCCTGTCTAACGGTGGGTGGCGGGGTCATGGTCGTCATATTGATTTCCCAGGATCTTCATGGGTTTCCCTTCTGCTCCGTCAGGATTTCGTAGTCTAGAAAAAAGCGGGGTTGGAAAATAAATTGAAAGTTTTGAGAGCAGTCCATAAGCCTCAGCGAAATGGTTAAAGAAGTTGCGCATGTGAATGCCCATGGGTTCGTTTCCTCAAATTTAGGTGCCTGCATGAACTTTCCGGTTCTAAGATGAAGGGCTAAAATGGCACATATAGGGCGACGGACATTAGTCCCCCGTTGCCTAGTCAACACGAGGATGGGAACTCCAGTTCAGAGCTGTGCTTGCGGTGCATGAGTTGTTATAATGGGAAGTAGGAAATTGCGAAGTCACTGTGTCAAGTGTGTGAAAGCAGATAATACCGATGCCCTGACAGTCGGTAATTCGCGCAATGAGTCGGGCGGGTTTCAAGAGCGATTGGAAGTTGCTGCCCTTAGGTCCCCATCACTCGCTTGCTTTTCTTTGCCTTAAATCGCCCACATCAACCATCACCTATGAGCAGACGGGTAAGGATGGGCTGAGGAGGCTCACCTGCGCCTCTACTAACACCGTGCCCCTATCGAAGGTTATGCATTGTATTTGAAAGCACGCGTTGAGTTTGTGGGGGGGACAATGATCAGCCTCCGGTTGATTTCTGCGTTGCATCTCGCTTGTATTTCGCTGAACGCCTTAAAGGCACATACCGCGGATAAAAATAAGGCTATGTTCCTCTCAAATATGTGTCGGAACAGGATCCGGAGGACGATTTTTGAGGCTGCGCGCTACTTTCAAAATGTGAAAAACGGCAAGAACTCCGCTAGAAGCTGACTAATTAGGCCCATGGACACCCCTTAGGCCCATGCCGACCCTCACCGGCTGCTAGCTACTAGCTAGTAGCCACTATGTTATCTTTCTCTATAACATTTCGGACTGCTTTTTCTGCTGCTTTTCTCCTCGCATAATCGGATCTTAGCACTTTTTTGTGCCTATCTGAGTTCGTTTCTACGCATTTTGCGGTACGCCGGACTTGTGCCTTTAAAGCGCCGTTATCTCACCAGCTCGTGTTTCCTTAGAAAGAAGCAAGAGTCAGTGTTAGCAGCAGTCTGCTTTGAGCCGATTCTTTTTGGGCACGGCCGCGGCTGGGGGAAAGCCTCAGAGAAAGGGATGTAAGTATAGCGCTCCGGGGAGGGGGGGGGGAGGGGGGGTGCAAGTGGCATCTAGATTTTGGATGAAAGGCTCACGCCTCATCATGAGGGAGAGGGAATTTCGGGAAGAAAAGGCTTTCTGACGTAACAGCTTGAATGGGGGCACCGAATGATACTCAACGGAGCTTGTACAGGTCATCATGTTAAAATCAGTAAATTACTGTGTCAAAAATGGCTCACTTGTAGCATTTCGCAGTTTCACAAAGAGTTTACAAGTTAGATAACCTTATTATCAGAAGGGAACTAAGCAAGAACTTAGATGTCCCCACCCCTCTCATCCAAAGCCTAACAGCGCCGAGCTTTCCTACTTTTGTGCTATGCCCGCTTCCCTCAGCACCTCCATCAGTCGATTAGTTTTTTCTGGAATATGAGAGGTAGCCAAAACTGGAGACTGCAGTCAAAAAGGGGTCGTATTCGAGACGGCAGTGCAGGCAATGGGTCTGGTTCAACGATCAATTCAACTTCATCTCCATGATGTGCTCTTCTTCGGTAGTACCTGAACCTTCAATATTTCTAGGTATTCCTCTAGTATAACCAAAGCATATCCCTGAATAAGCTTTGGGCTACCTGAGACAAGCTTAATTTTATATTTTGCCGTGTGCAGGATAACCTTTATCTTTTTTCAGCACTCAAGAAGACTTTCCAACAATCAAACGCTCGTAAGGCATTCAAGAAGCTTTCGGAGTATTTCGTCATGGTGAACACTGAAGATGATGAGGAGCCATTTGAAGAGGAATACCGACCAGACGGAAAGTACATCCCAAGGCTTTTGTTCCTCGGTATGAATCGATTCGATCGATATATTACGGTACCACTGATTAGTAGCATTGTTTACTTGTTTACAGACAAAAATGGTGATCTTCTCGATCAGTTCAAGAACAAGAAAGCCGAATACAAAAATTACGCCTACTACTACTCATCACCGGCTGATATCATCAACTCGATGAAGGATGTCTTACGATTCTTCGAAATTGAGGTGATAACGCACTACTGGTTAATTACGGTAATATAAGAAGTTAGAGGCCCCTTGGCAGCCCCTATAAGGGGAGAGTTAAGAGATCTGGTCGAAAGCTAAGTCATGAAGGGTTTTATGACGACCATCCCTCTAAATTATAATATGACCCTCTCAATTGGTCTACGTAAAATTTTATAAGCAAGAATCCTCTACTTTTGTTGAGATAATTGTCCTTGTTTTATTCTTGAGTGAAGTGTCGTTCACCGTAGATGCTGGGGCGTGTCAGGGGCTGGTATTAGCTCGACGTCAGATCCATCTCCACCAACCGTTGAAGAGGAACAGGCTAGTGAAAGACGGGTTAGCGCCGCGCCAAAGCCACCGCTCCCTGTGACATGCCCCCGCATTCGCATGTACCAGGACTGCAGTAGAGCTCCTTCTGAGCACAATAAATCAACTGATGCACAAACAAACAAGAAAACAAATCAATTAGTAGACATCTAAAACTTCCCAAGTGGGCTAGCCGAAGGTCATTGCACCACAGGTGTAGTT